CCATCCTAACGCCGCTCAGGGATGGCCCAGCTGACCCCACACAGAGGAATTCGCGAGAGCAAATTACTCGTGCCGAGGTCTCTGCAGTTTCTCACAGATGTTGCTGCTCGGATGTGCTGTGCCTGCTGCTTTAGGGCTGATGAGTTCCACTGGGAGGGAGCTTTTACTTGCTCCTGCTGGTTTGTTTAGCCGAGGGAAGCGTTGCTTTGGGGCGTTCGGAGGTGGAGGCTCTTCCATAAGCGAAAATGGCGAGATGGAATGAGGTAGGAAGCTCATAGGTACTTGGAGGGTGGCCTAGACAGCAAGAAGGAGATGTAGGAGGAAGGTTGAAGTGAGATTTCAGCAGGATCATCAACCTCCTACAGCATTAGATGCCCAGGGAGAGCAGAGAAATGCTCCATCTCCCACGGCAGGGAGGTGGAGGGACGCTGCCCACCGCAACCTGTGCTGTGCTTTCAGGGAGAGAACCATAAAAATGCCCATGAACTGGGAATTCCTTCATGCCTGGCTTTGTCCAAGTGTTTATATGGGAAAATTTGGTGTCTGACTTTTTATTTTTTACTTTTTTTTCCCCCCAGAAATGGTGTATTTCCCTCAAACTTGCAGCTGGCTCAGTGGTGGTCCAGCTCCTGGGCTTCAGTCACGGTCAGTTAGGAGGCATCTGCCGAGCTTGTGAGAGGGACAGGGGGGACAAACACATCCTTAAAAATAACTGTCTCCTCCATCAACACTTCTCCCCCAGCCTGGAAGTCTGACATCCGCTCCGAGGGCTCCCCGGCCCTCCTTGCGGGACGGGGCCCTTCCATTGTCCCAGCGCTGGTGACAACGAGCACGAGATGTCACCTCCCTAATGAGACCTGACAAATGGGCAACCGGGCTCTGCTCGGGGGCCCTCAGCGGTTCATTTCCAGAGCTCCGTGTCGGGGCAAAGGGCAGGAAGGGAGTAATCCCGGCGTGGGGATGCCTTTCCGACTGAGAGGTGCTGGGGAAGCTGGAAAAGCTGGAGTTGAACAGGGATTTCTGTGTCAGCGCCCAGGACCTTTCACAGACAGGCCGTATGATCTAAATGCCATGTGATGTGGCCCCGAAGCTGCAGCCCCGTGGCGGGTTCAGAGCAGGTTCTGTGAGGCTGGGAAAGGAGCTGGGATTAATTCAGAAGGAAAAAATCCGTGCCCTGGAGAGGCTCTGCTGATCCAGCACCGGTAATTCCTTGAAAAAGTAGTTTTCTGTGAAGTTTGGCACTTTTGGGGAAGGGTCGTGAACTAAAAGGGGGCAGAAGAAAATGTCATCGTGCCCTTGGTGAGGCTTCTTAGGGCTTGGAAGCTTCCTGAGGAGAATCCTGAATTGCAGGAAAATATCATTTTGGGAATTAAACCCATTATTTTTGGTCAGATGTCTTCAGGTTTTAAGACAGTGCATCCTTACATATGTACATACACACTTACATCTATCTATCTGTATATACATTTATCTATATCCATATATATTATCTATTCCTTTAAAAGCAATTAGATTTTATTTTTATACATGGGTGGAAAAAAACCAGGGAGGATGAGTGTGCTGAACAGTATTTATTGATTACTTTTGGGGGTTTATATTTATTTGTATTAAAAATATTCCTGCTGTTCCACTCTCTGTGAAATGTCGTTATTGGCTTAAACAGTCAATGAACGTTTTCTCAGGTAGATGTCACATGTTTATAGCTGTGTTTCACCCCCCACGAAAGAGAGAACTATGTGAACCCATGTGTCTATGCTCAAAATATCCATGAAATATTGAGTATTTGGGTTTCTGACAGTAGTTAAACAGAAATGCCTATTTTCATGCTACCTGTGTGTGTATGGAATGAGCAGGGGGGGAGGTGTTTTGTCACCAAGGACTTTCCACTTCACTGAGTGCCATAATTCAAAATATTGGCCCTGCTGGCTTTGCCCTGGATCATTTTGTAACCCAGAGAGTTTTCAACTTGAATCCTCTGCCTGTAATTAAATGTTCCAGACACATAAAATAGAGATGGGAAGCGAATTCTCCGGATTCATTCACGGTTCTCTCTCATTAGAAGCGGTGTCAGCAATTAAGCTCTTTGCAATTACGAGAGGCACCCAGTATTTTTAGAGAGCAGCTGGGGGATTTCTGCCACCCTTTCAGGCAGGACTAACAGCCACTTGTCCTGTGAATCTGATGAGTAGGCAAGTGCTGACAGGGTTTGGAGATGGGCTGAATCAGCAGCCGGTCCCACAGAAGGGAGCGGGTGCAAGAGAGGCAAAACCGGCGTCCTCGACTGGAAGGCTTTGATCAGCTCTGCAAAGACAAAAGCTTTTTGTGGTTGGGGATGAGCAAACCCAACAAATTCTCGTCTTGTCGCACTTGGGAGGAGTTCACGCCGCTATTTTCACCTCGTTGTGTTTGAACTTAAAATATTGGTTAAAATATAACGGTTGGACTCGATGATCTTGGAGGTCTTTTCCTAGCCTTAATGGTTGTGGGGCTCTGTTTGTCCTTTATGTTGATAGCATGTGTTAATCACTGGTTTGCTGATTAGCACTGAGCTGGGATGAGCTCCTCTCTTTGGGATGTGAAGGAACTCCTCTCTCTGGGATGTGAATCCCAGTTTTTTTCGGTCTGTAGCTCAGGGGTTGCAGCTGCGAACCCACGTTTTTCACTGCAAGCTGCTGATGTCTGGAAATGAATAGTGGGGGCTTGTAAAATCTGCCTTGTGTTGTTTGGGATAAAAAAAAAAAAAAATCCAAAAATCCCTGTCTCCTCCAAACCTTTGTTATCTTAAGGGTGTGAATGTGAAGCAAATTCCACGTGTTGGGTTGAGTGGCTCTGGTTGAGCTACGAGCAGAGAGGCTGATTTGTGTGTGGCTGATGGAGAGGAACTCAAAAATTCAGGACAATTCAATCCCAAATCCATGAGCTCCCTCACCCCAAGGTGTGCTCCAAGTGGCTTTGCTGTGAGCTTTCCCTCCAGACCCCACGTGGAGCTGCTGGACCCGTTTCTTTCATCTTCCACAGGGCTGGGAGAGGTTTGTTTTACTTCCTGTCTGCTTCCAATCAGGCTTTCATTTTCCCCTGGCTGATAGGCATCTGTGGAGTAAACCCAGGGAAAACTGGCATTTCCTTCTCTGAGAAGGTTAAACCAACAAGGTTTGATGCACCACGTTGTGCTTTATCTGCTCCCCTTGCTATTTTTATGGATTTCACCGTGTTTTTTAATAAAAGAGCTGTTTGCACACCAGAGCAAGGACAGTGACAACCCTCCCTGGTGGCCTCTGTGCTGCTGGGCCTGTGTGGTCTCTGCTGTGACACAAACATTGGGAGGCAGAGGTGGAAGGTCCCCACCCCTGGCACATCTTTCCTGGAAAAACAACCAACAAAAAATATTTGTTAAATGAGAGTTAGCGCATATTCAAAGGTGCTGAGGAAATACCTGGGTCAGCCTGGGTGGGAAGAAAAATCCCAACCCTGTGTATTATGGATGGATTCCAGGGGAAACCAGTGGCTCCTGCCTGGCTTGGCAGCCAAATCCTCTTGGGATTTTCCTGTCCCGTTCGGTTTTTGAGGCACTTTCCTAATTTCCAGGGATTTATAATAATATGAGCTGGGTATTTAATGTTGCATTAGTGTTGTCTGCTCCTGGATGGCTCCCCACAGCTTGGATGCAGGGATTGGGATGCTCCTGAAAGCTGGTTTGGGGGTGGTTTCACTGGTGGTACCATGGTGGGTCATTGTTTCCACTTAAATTAGTTCCCAGCAGTCAGGAATGTGGGAAAAAATGTTACATTGTTGGTCAACAGCATCACAGAGGGAATAGGACCCTTTGGAGCACGGATGAGGAGGAAGCAGTGGACACTTTGTGTTATTAGCAGCAGCCAGGTGAAGGCAGAGCCCACCTGGAGTAGCTGGAGCTGCTCAGCTTCCCTGAGATGTGTGGGCAGTGATGAGGAGCTCCTGGTTTGGGCACTGGGGAAGGGTGTGAGCCTGGGCTGCAGCTGGCTTGGAATGTGGCTGTGGGACCCACCACTACTCTCCCAGATATCCCAATGGATCTCCACCTACTCTGTTTCCTCTCTTCCTGGTCTAATCCTGCAATTTTCTGTTGCTCTCTAACATCTGTTAAATCCTGTCACAGCAAGTCTCTCTTGACTTTATCAACATCCTACTGAGGTTTTTGCCAACCAGTCTCTGACTGTTTAAGGTGTAAACAGTGGCAAAGTCGACCACCCTTGTCCTTGGCTCCTATTTGCAGCTCTCCAGCCAGGAGAGGGTTTGTCCACATCCTTTTCCCAGGCGGTGCCAGGGATGTCGATGCCAAATAATTTTTTAATAATTTGTAATTTGTTCACGTAACCTAACTAATCTTTATTTCTTTATTTTAATTTGATTCATTTAATTAATTTAAATGAATTGTGTGTAACTTATGAACACTGCTGCCTGGCCCATGGGAGGGCAGTGGAAGGCTCAGGGGAACATCCAAAGGAGGGCAGTGAGGATGGGGAAGGGCCTTGATTTGAAGCCGTGTGAGGACACTGAGGGCACTTGGTGTGTTCAGCTGGAGAAGAGGAGACTGAGGGGAGACCTCCCTGCAGTTCCAGCTTCCTCAAGAGGGGCAGAGGAGGGGCAGGACTGAGCTCTGCTCTGGGTGACAGGGACAGCCCCCAGGGAATGGCTGGAGCTGTGCCAGGGCAGGCTCAGGGTGGATCTCAGGGAAAGGTTCTTCCCCCAGAGGGTGGTTGGCACTGAACAGGCTCCCCAGGGCAGTGGGCACAGCCCCAAGGCTGCCAGAGCTGCAGGAGGGTTTGGATGATGCTCTGGGGCACAGGGGGTGACCCTTGGGGATGGTTCTGGGCAGGGTTGGACTGGATGGTCCTTGTGCATCCCTTCCAGCTCAGCAGATTCTGGGATTCTGTGACCGTGTGGTTGTGCCTTTGCTGAGGTTGTGTTGCCCTGCTCGTGGTGGCTTTGCCGTGCTCACCCTGCTCTCTGCTCCTGCCCAGGGGAGGTGTTCTGGCCGCCCATGAGCACGTCCTCGCCCGGCCATGGCCCCGCCGCCCGCGCCGGCCTGGCTGCTGCTGCTGCTGCTGCTGCTGCTCGGCCTGCTCAGCGCCCACGGCCGCGACTTCACCCGCAAGGACATCGTCTACCTCCACCCCTCCAGTGAGTCACCTCTGGGGGGCCAGGGGGGGGCAAGGATGAGGGCAAACACGTGTTAGGGCACAGCTGAGAGCCACACCTTCAGATCTTCCCTGGACTCTCCCTAGTCTGTTCACTTTATCAGACACAAACCTATCGAATCCCATGAGAAGAGGGGGCTTGTGGAGCTCTTCCTGCTGTCTCTTCCCAGAGGAAACTCACCACCGAGTGAGCATTTGGCTGGAAAACTTATATTCTGCACAAGCAGGAGGAAACTCCTGGTTTACACCCTAACCAGCAGTCCAGGCTGAGAGGGATGGATTTGGTCTGTGCTGGTGTGTTGTCCCACCCCAAGTTGTTCCTTGAGGGCAGCACCAGCCCCACCAGAGATGCTCCCAGGGGACTCATACACAAACAGGGACCGAGCCGAGAGCTTCCCAAGGGAAAGAGAGGAAGAGGAGGGAGGGTTAAGATGTGATCCATTGGGCTGTGAAGGTTCAGTTTACTTCACCCCACGAAGATAAACATGACCTGTTCACCACTTGGCATCTGAGAAGGTGGCAGCACCTTGGAGAAGCTCTGGAGGTGTTCCAGAATTGCTGCCAGGAGAGCACTTAAGGAATCATGCTCTTTGTTTGGCAAGATAAATTAGGACAGAGGCTGCTGGAGAAAGCTGGAGGGTCAGCACAGTGCTTTTTCTTCCCTTTGGGAACATCAGCCTTCAACAGGAGCAGCTCTTTTCCTCGGTGGGACAATTTCCAGGGTACTTTAATCCACCTGATATTTTGTTATCAGCACCGACACAGCAGCAGTGCTGGACGTGAGCTCTGATTCCAGGGGAATAAATATCCCTTGCTCACATTAACTCCCTTTGAAGTCAGCAGTGGGCACTCCTGCTGGGTAAAACCAGGTCTGAAACGAGTCCATGTGTCCCCAAAAGTGCCCCTGCACTCTGCAGGTGATGGGGTTTTCTGACTCAGGCCCAACCCACCGATGCTCACAGGGGTGTATTTGTAGAAAAATAGATCCAAAGAGAACAACTGTTGCTGTGTGCCCGTGGAAAGCCCCATGGAAGCAGATTAGCACTTTAACTCCATGTTTTATCCACTCCTTCCAGCCACGCCATACCCTCGGGGATTTAAGTGTTTCACCTGCGAGAGGGCTGCTGATAATTACGAGTGCAACCGCTGGGCTCCGGACGTCTACTGTCCCAGAGGTAACGTTAATTAGCGGTTAATTAAACCCACCTTCCCACTGCTGCTCCCTGTCCCTGCCACGGGCCGCTCTGAGCCCCCTGTGCTCCCAGATCTGGTGGTTCTGCTCCTGCCTGTCAAGTCTCCCCAGCAAAGGGAGATGTGGAAGCGATAGGAGTAATCCCTTAAGCTTTTCTGTCTCTGTGCTGGGTGAAGTTTAGGACTTTCATCTATTCCCTGCACTCCTCTGGTTCAGCTGGGGATTAAACCAGGGTGGTGTTTATTTTATGGAGCCTTGGAATCACAGAATGGTTCGGGTTCAAAAGGACTTAAAGCCCGTCTTGTTCCAATCAGGGACACTTTCTACTGGAGGAGGTTGCTCAGAGTTCAGTCCAGCCTGGCCTTGGGCACTTCCAGGGATCCAGGGGCAGCCACAGCTTCTCTGGGCAAGCTGTGCCAGCTCCCCACCCTCCCAGGGCTGTGTTTTTAAGGGTTGTGTTTCACTTTCTGGGGAGTACAGGACTGGTTCTGGCTGTGTTCACTTCCCTCCCCTTGGGCACGAGCCCACGCTTGGGGCAGCTGGAATTTTGATATTTTCAGTGGTTTGATCTCATAACTCCCCTTGGTGTCTGAATTTTGGAACAGCTCAGAAAAACCCATGGGATACAGGCACTCAAATATCACACCCAGGTAGTGGTGAGATCCCCAGATCTCCCCTTCCTTCCCACTCCTTTGAGACACTCCCAAGACATTAAGATTTTATCCACCTATGATGCTCCTTTAGTTGGGTCTGGTCTGTTTTGGGACAAGAGGCCTCAGAAAATATTTACTTTGGAAGGAGGGAGGCTCTGACCTGCCCTGTGGGGACACAGATGTGTTTGCAGCACGTTATCTGTCCCACAATTGGTTTCCTTTGAGCTGAAATCAGCACAGCAACAACACCAATAAAAGAGCTCAGGCTGCCTGGCATGGGATGAGACAAATATTCCCAAAATCCTGTTTTGACAGGAGAAGGGGGTGTGTTTAGGTGTCTCTGTGCAAGGAGAAGGGGGTGACTCCAGGGTCTGCCTTTAGAAACAACCAGCAGGAATGACTTGATCAAACCTAATTCTGACCTGGAAAGTGAAATCAGTGAAAAATGGTGGTTTAAAGGGGAGCAAAACTGTGCTTTGGTGTGCCCAGAGCATCCCCATTACTTAGGAACATCAACTTTCATGCTGCAATGTTTGATTCTGATTGCTCTGAATTTCTCTTGTTATTTTTATGGTAAAATTGGCCTGGAGTTCCTCCTCCATTCCCCTGGGCAGGAAGGGCCTGATGTTCCTCTCCTCTTCTTTGCTCTGGGCTCTCCCAGTGTTCCCTGGCTCAATCCTTGAATGCCTGGATAAGAGGGTAAAAGTTCATTTTAACTGGAATGGAGTGGATTTTATTGTCGATTGTGGGTTTGTTGTGAAGCCTTGCAGGAGGAAAATCTATATCTCCAAGATGATTGCACCATATTTTCTAAAGGAAAGGAAGGAAGGAAGGATGAAAGATCCTTAAAAGACTTATGGGGTGTTGGAAGCTTTTTTTTGTTCCATCTGGGACTGGTTGGGGGAAACTCCAGTGCCAGAGCAGGGATGATAAAGCTCAGAAGGGCTGGGAATGGCCCTTCCAGGCAAAGTCCTGGGAAGAGCTCACAGCTGGGGCACAGAGGGTGCTCTCCTTGGGGGAAAACTGGGAGTTTTAGGGCAGGAGAGGCTGGAAAAGCACATCAAAAGCCCTGGGAATGAAGGCAAACAGCCCACAGAACAACTCCGTCCTCGGGTGATAAGTGAAGCCTGTTGTGTGATATCACACTTGAGTCAAGAGCAGGTCAGAGATATGACAGATAATCTGGGGGGGTTTTATTGCCTAAAGAATAACATGTTGAGTCCACAGCCTCACTGGGATGTTGCTGAATGCCTAAAACATGAGAGGAATGCAGGGTTTGCCCACAGGGAACCAGGGCTGGGCAGGAATAGGGGCTTGAAATGCACCACAGTCCTCTTTTTTCCCCCTGTGGAAACGATGGTTTCGTTCACAAAAAGATGGATTAATGAGAAGAAATGTGTAATTTAGAGAGTAAATATATCAGGGTGTGTTTCCTGTGTATTTTCTTCCTTTCAGGAAGAAGGGGAGCAGCACCTTCAGCTCCTCTTTAATGACTAAAGCAGGGAATAAATCCCAATTCCTTATGCTTGGGAATAACCACAGCATTTGCCAGTCATTCTACTGTGAATTTTGGGTTTGGTTTACAGATGTCACTGGAGGAATAGCTTAAAAAAGGAGGAGGAAGAGGATGGTCCCCCTTGGGGACAAGCAGAAGGGGCAGTGGGAATATCAGGGATACAGCCCATGCCGTGGTGCTTTTACCAACACCTGGAAAACTGAGAAATGCATAAATCCTCCTGAGTCTTCTGTAGGTATAATTTGGCATTATTTTATAGATTATAAAAGAGAAGGATCTTCTCCAGGCTGGGCAGGAGCACAAGGAGAACAACTTGCCCAGGTTTTTAGGATATAGGGAAAAGTATCCCCACCATAATTCCACAGAATTAATGATGCTGCGTGGAAAAAAAAAAATCATATATATATATATATATAAAAAATATATTATCTAAAAATATTTATGTTGTACATTGAAAATATTTAGATATTAAATATTTTCACTTAAATGAAAACAAGCTTCAGACCTAAACAGGTATTGGGAATATTTTCTTTTTTTCCATAATTCTTCCCTATTTCTTCCTATTTGCAGCCTATCAGAAAAAAAGGAATTTGACAGATAAGCACATTTTTTTTATGTTTTTTTTTTTTTTTCTTAGGAACAAGGTACTGCTTTAGCCAACATATGATGAAAGTCACTGGAGAGAGTGTTTCTGTCACCAAACGCTGTGTGCCACTGGAGGACTGTCTGTCCACAGGGTGCACCTACATAAAGCACGAAGAGTACAAGGTAGAGCAGAAAAAACCTGCCTTTTTATTCAGTGTAATAACTGGGAATTGGGGTCTGACAGAATCTGACCAGTTCCATGGCCAGTGGATTAAAAAAGAAGGGAGGGGGAGGGGAAAAAAAGGGGGAAAATTATCAGTCTGGCCACTGTGCTCCTTTAAAAAATATCCCATTCTTATATTGCTGATGTTTTTCTTCCCCAAATAACCGAGCTGTGACCTGTTGCTCCCAGGTGTGCACGTCCTGCTGCGAAGGCAGCATCTGCAACCTGCCCCTGCCCAAGAACTCCACAGACGCCGTGTTCACCACCCTGTCCCCCCTCAGCAAGGCCCAGAGACCGTCCCCTCGTGTCCTGCTGACCACACTGTGCCTCTGGCTGGCGCTGGTGGCCCAGCAGTGGGTGACAGTGGCCCAGCTCTGGGTGACAATGCCACAGGTGGCCGGGCCGGGCAGCTGAGCCGGGCGGGAACATCTCATGGACGTCCAACCTCTCCCTGCGGAGCTGGAGCGCTGGAGTTGGCTCTGAAAGGCTGGTTTTTCCTCCTGGTTTCTTGGTCATCACGGACTCCCCAAGCCTGGGGTGGGGATGGGTTCAAAACCTCCCCGTTCCTACCCTGCTTTTCCAAAGAAACTCGTGGAAAATATTCCCAGAATCCAGAGTGCTCTTCACAGAACCATTTAGGTTGGGAAAGACCTCTAAGACACCGAGTCCAGCCTGACACTTGTTGATGTCTGCCTTATCTGTGTGAAGAAACGTTCTTTCCAAGTACCACATCCCTGCTCACGTCATCACTTACTCACTGGACACGTCCCTCTGTGCACTAATTCCGGTGTCTCCTTAACCTGCTTGAGAACCCCCAGCAAATAACACCCACACAGGCAGTGTCCCCACACCTCCTGACCCTCGGGGAGAGGGCAGGAATTCGCAGCGAGGAAGCAGCAAGCTGGAAGGGCCGAGCTCCAGGGAAGCAGCAGGAGATTGGAGCAGCCAGCGCTGCCCAAAGGTGCTTCTGCCGAGGTGTCCAACGCACCCCCCCCTGAGAAAATCCCTGGATTTCATAAACTGAACCAGCAGAACTCTCAAAAATCCTTGTTCTGGTGGGGTTAGAGGTGTGTGATCCCCAATCCTCAGGTGTGAGGAGGATGGAGAGCTGGTGGATCTCCACGCTGAGGGTGCTGGTGGTCACCAACCCACCGTCTCCACACTGTTTTAGGACAATGTTGTCCCATTTTGGCACCCAGCCCTAGAGTATGAGAGAGAGAAAATCGATCCTGAATAGCTCTGTTATTTTATTTCATGAAGTCTGGGCTACTCCAGCTGTGTTTTGGTGCCCTGTGTTGCTTGTTTTGCTTGGAAGTCTCGGATGCAATATTTATTTTTCTATGTTGAGTAAGGTCTGAAAGTGTTGAAAAGATTCTTAATGCTGATATTGCCAGGAAAAAAAAAAAATATGGGTGTTTTGCAAGTCAGTAAGCCTGTAATATATAAATTATCAGAAATATATATATATATATATATATAAAGAATCAACTTTGTTTGCAAAGTCAGTAATAAAAGCAGGCTGTCATGGACTTGCTTAAAGTTAAACCAAACTGTTTTATAATTAATTTTTTCACACCATTAGAGCCATAAATTGTTCTTTCATGAGCTAATTTTTTGCTGCTCAGGCTCCAAGGTAACTTGAGCTCAAGTTCCAGTGTGTTTTTCGCTCTGAAGTGCTTTTTTTCAGGGGGAGTTACAGTGAAATGCAGATGAAGGAAAGCAAAAGCTGGAATCCAAAGGCTGTCTCAGGGGTTCCTGGAGAGTCCCAATGAGTCGAATCCATGTGTGGGATACCCTGAAAAATGAGGAATCTGCAGATCTGGGTGTGCAAAGGGATGTCCTGGGTTTTGTGGCCTTTGGATTTGTGTTCCTGGGAGGTTTATTGGGAGCAAAGGAGGAGGATCAAGAGCAGCACTTGCTCCCCACTGACCTTCAGGTGATTCCTCTGGGGAAGGAAAGGCTGGAAGCATCAGTGTGTTATTATTAAAAAAATGTATATATATATATATATAAAATACTTATATATTACACTACTGTAAATGTCACCTTCCAACACTGTTAATTTTCCATTTTCTAATATAAAAGTACCATTTTTGAGGGGGGGCTGGTTGACCTCACACAGGTGTCCCTTCAGTCCTGGGGCTTGCTCACAGATCTCCAACATTAAAGGAGGGTTGTTGCAATCTGTTCTATGCAAGTTTAACCTGTCTGTCTCTGAAGATTCCCAAAAATAATCAACCCTGCAGCCTCCTTGCAGCCTTGTCCCCTCCTCTGGATTTAGGGAATTTAAGGAATGGAGGTGCTGAGGGGCTGGGGGAGAATGAGGCAGAGAGGGGTTGGGACTTCTCTGACGTTAATTTACATATTTATGATTATTTTATCCTGCAAAATGGAAGAGTTTAAGATTCAGCTGAGGTGGCCTCGAGGCTTGGGCTGTGCCAGCCTGGAATTCCTTCCCAATATCCCATCTCTCCCTGCCCTCTGGCACTGGGAAACCATTCCCTGTTTAGGAAACCAGAGACATTTTTGGGTTCCCTCCACCCACAAATTCTGGATTTTGAACACTGAGCTTAAAAAAAAAAAGGAAATTAAAGCAACTGAGCCCACCCAGCAGGTCCCTGTCCTGGTCTGCCCACCGAGCTCTCGGGGGGTTTTTAAACCACACCAATGCTGAGCTGCCCCCTATTTATTTTTTAGGTTCTCTCTCTCTCTCTGTGACACTGCTTTGAAATGTCTAATTTTTTTTTTAACTCCTGTAAATGCTGTACATTTGTATAAATAAATGTTTTAAATATGCACACGGTGTGTGAGGTGCTGTCTGATCCAATGGTCCTCACCAGCCCTGATCTTCCATGAGGTGCCAAAAAAAAACCCCAAAAGTTGAGCTGTATTTAGAGAATTTTTGCAGCTCTATTTAGGGAATTTTAATTTTCCCTGTAGTTAATGAATCTTTCCCGTGGTTTCCCCCCACCCCTGGTTATTTGCTACAAATTGTTTCATGTTGGACAATTATTATTTAATAAAATAAGTCTTGAGGAGGTTCCTGTTTCATTTGTGACCCCTGGATCTTGCTTTCCCTGCTCTGGGAAAATCGTGTTCTCCATAATTGTGCTGTCACATTAATTTAGTCCCAGCGTGTCTCGTGGCCTTACTTCTCATTTCCACTCCTGAAACCGACAATTCCTGGGATGGAAACGACTTCCTGGAGCTGATGGAAAGGTTTGCAGGTTGGTTGTGGATGAAGAAGCCAGAGGCAGCTCACGGTGTTTCTGCACAGCCCCAATTCCCACAGCTTCTAAGTGGAATAAATGCAATTTATGGTAGCACAGGTAACTATGGAGCATGGATTTAGAGCTGCTGAAATTCCCAATAATCCCAAAATAAGCTGCTCTGGTGGTTTGGTGTTTGGTGCACCTTTAGATTACAAAGACTTCCTTACCCCTTTTTAACCCACTCAAGGCACTCAAAGTGATGCTGAACCTCCCAATTATTAATCCCTAATATTTACATTTTTGGGGGATCCAAACCAACTTCTCCAGCCCCACAAAATCCAGGTTGAAATAACTGGCTGGGCAAAGGCATTTTTGTCTTTTTATCTTCCCCAGCCCCGTAACATTCCCACCTTTCCATCAAGTGCAGCTCAACCCCACAAGCCTCAGGCTAAAAACAACAAAAAAATCCCAGGATATCTTCAAAATGCTCTCCTGGGCTGTGGAATGTGGGGTTGATTTTTTTCCTGAGCACCTGGAGCAGGGATGTTTTCTGTTCACACTCAACTCCTGTCTTCCCAACCCAGGTTTGGGTGCCACGTGCCCTTTTCCACGCCCCAAAACGAGGAGTTGTCACCTGAAACCCAAAATTTGGAGAAAAGCCACAGTTTTATGGGTTTTATGTGGATTTGGGATCTCAAATTCCACCCCCAGCCTTTGGCTTTCCTCCAGTTTTCTTTCCTTGCTGGGTGATGTTGGGATATTTATCCAGAGGAAAAAAAAACCAGGTAGTTTTTATCCTGGGGGTTTACTGGGCAGCAGAAAACCTCATTCACTGCACTTCAATTTGAGAATAACAGAGCTTTTTTTCTGTTAAATTGTCATTGGGATGGTTTTTAGAACCTTTTTTTAAAATAATTTTATTGATTTTCTGCTCATTGATATTTTGGTTGTTTTTTCAAACTCATTGATATTTCAGTGGGTTTTTTAACTCATTGATATTTCAGTGGTTTTTTTTAAACTCATTGATATTTCAGTGGTTTTTTTTAAACATGGATATTTCAGTGGTTTTTTTTAAAACTCATTGATATTTCAGTGGTTTTTTTTAAACTCATTGATATTTCAGTGGTTTTTTCAAACTCATTGATATTTCAGTGGTTTTTTTAAACTCATTGATATTTCAGTGGTTTTTTTTTAACTCATTGATATTTCAGTGTTTTTTTTTAACTCATTGATATTTCAGTGTGTTTTTTTAAAAACATTGATATTTCAGTGGTTTTTTTTAAACTCATTGATATTTCAGTGGGTTTTTTTAAAACTCATTGATATTTCAGTGGGTTTTTTAAACTCCCAGATTTCCCAGCTGACCCCACAGGTCAGGCCTGGCCCCTTCCAACACCAAATATTCCCTGAATCTGCAGCAATTTTCCAGCATCAGAGCCAGCAGAAAACCTGACCAGCAAGAAGAAGCTGGTGGAGAGAGGAATTATTTTTAAATTGTTAAATATTAATAATAATAACGACCCCATCTATTATTTTTATTTTGTGAAAAATCCTCTTTAATAGGGGATTTCTAGAATTAAATATAGATTTTTTTTCAGCCTTTCTGTGTATCCACATAAACCCTCAACTCGTGCAAGAGCCAGGCCCTCATGGGAGTATCCACCTGTCTTTAAGTACAATATATGTTTATAAATAATAATTAAATAGTATATAATAATTTAATATTAGATTGGAGTATCCCCCTGTCTATAAGTACAATATATATTTATAAATAATAATTAAATAGTATAAAATAATTTAATATTAGATTGGAGTATCCACCTGTCTATAAGTACAATATATATATATTTACAAATAATAATTAAATAGTATATAATATTTAATATTAGATTGGAGTATCCCCCTGTCTATAAGTACAATATATATTTATAAATAATAATTAAATAGTATATAATATTTAATATTAGATTAATTTAATAATGTTAATATTAAGTATATTTATAATTCTGTATTTTATATAATTACAATAATATAATCATTACTATTAATTTAATGATTATATAATTAACAATAGTTATAAATTTATATTTTTATATATTTATGTATGTATTATATTTATTTTTAATATATTTATAGATTTATATTCAGCATATCCATATATTTTTCCAGAAGAATGAGGCCAGGACACGCCTATGGAGAAGGAGGAATTGCTCACAGTCTGTTATTAAATATGCACAGAAAAAGGTTATGGGACACATAGCCCTGGATTTCTAAGGAATAATAAACTAATAATTAGTTTTCCAGCTATGTAGGGAGTGACTATGGAGTGTTTTGGGTTGAGGGTGAGGAGCAGCAGGAGGGGAAGGGGCAGGAATGGGGGTCCCATCACCCCAAACCTGCAGCACAGCCAGGAGGGTGTTGGTTTGTCGGGAAAACTCCTGGCTAAAAAAAAACCCAAAAAAATCACATGTTGCTCTGGATGGTTTCCATAACTAACAGGATGGAGTCCAATCCCTGCATTTCCTTTGAATCCTACAGAGATTCCTGCCTGCAGGAGTTACTGATGTTATTATCTGTATTTTTATCTCTGAATTCTGAACTTCTCTTTCTCCTCTCTCAGACCCCAAAGTTTGACCAAGTCAGCAACAATCCTCCCCTCACTCCCTAATTCCCTTTTTCCACACAAACCCACCTCACTCCTGCACCTCTCTTCTCGCCTCACTATCCATCCCCAACCTCTATTTTTCAATATTCCAGAAATGTTCTGCCCTTCACACACCCAACACTCCTCCCCTCAGAGGGAGCAAACTGGGCAAAAGAGAGAAATACATCAAAATGCTGCAAGAAACCAAAGGAAAGGACTAAATAACCACCTCAGCTCCACTCCAGCACTTTGTTTCTACTTCAATAAATAAATTACCTGGTTCAAGATGTTTCCAGTTCAGCTTTCCCTGAGCCAAGCCTGGGGCTGAGCAGCCCTGGGGTCTCTGCAGGAAAACGAGCCCCGAGGGAAAGTCCAGCTGGGCCAACCCCACCCCTCGAGTTTGAGTTATTTTAGAATCATTTCAATTATTTTCAGAGCATTCAGAGCCAGGAGCATCTCCCAGACACGACTTACCTGCATGGAGGCAACGAAACTTGGATTAAGTCCTCTTGGAAGAGGCAGGATTTAGCTGAGCAGCTCACTAAAAACACCCCACTACAGGTTTGGGTTTTTTTTGATGGGGACAAGCTGCTCAGGGGTGGGGGGCAGACATAATTAACTAATAATTAGTAATATGGGTAGTGATTATTGAGGGGTTTGTGCTGGTCAGAGGAGCAGCAGGAGGGGAAAGGGCAGGAATGGGCCCCAGTTCCACTAAAATCCCACTAAACCAGTGCCAGGCTGCAGATTGAGGGGCACTAAAGTGGAAGAGCAGCACCTGCAATGTTTAATCTTCCCCTGCTGCATCAGATCAGCTGGGCCCTGATGGGAGGGAATCAGAGCAGCTCTGCTGGCTACATGAGATTGGTTAAAACAGCTGGAAAACTGCCCCAAAAAAATTAAAATAAGGGTCCTAGAGTGGCAGAGAATCAGCGCTCAGGGGTCTGGGGGGTTGATGAAGTTCTCTGGCCAAAGGTTTTGATGGCAGGGTCAAGACTTCAGTTCTTTGGCCCTTTGATAGGAATTAAATTAGCCCCAAGGAAAGGGAATCATTTATTTTATTTTATTCTATTTCAAATAAACTACAGGGATTTTGCTGTGTATTTCCATCCCTGGAAATGTCCAAGGCCAGGCTGGACAGGGCTTGGAGCAACCTGGGAGAGTGGAAGGTGCCCCTGCCCATGGCAAGGGGTTGGAATTAAATGGACTTTAAGGTCCCTTCCAGCCCAAACCATCCTGGGATTCCATATTTTTGGTCCAAAAGTATCTCCTTTGTTGCAGCTGCTGTGTCCCAACACTAACAGTCAGAATTCCCAGCAGAAAATTACAAATAACAATAACACACAGCAAAATTCCTGCCGTTTCTTAGAAATAGAATAAAATAAACATAATAAATTACTCCCTTTCCCCGGGGCTAAATTTAATTTCTATTGATCCTTGCTACCACCAGAGCAAGCCAAGCTCCCCCAGCACATCCCTGTGCCAAAGAATTCCCATCACCAAGTCTGAACTCGAGGAGTGTCCACGTGGAAAGATCCCAATCACTGGACACCCAAAGATGATTAGGGAGGAAAACGTGACCTTACCTTTCTTTACCCTAGAAAGGAATTAATTTTTGTAACTCTGAAAGTTGTTCTGGCTTTTATTTTCAGTTCGGTTTTATTTCCTAGTATATTAATATAGTTAATTAATGCACAGTTTGGGCTCTTCTGATGGGAGGGGAATAGAACTGGAATAGCTCTTTTGGGAATTAATATGTAGGAAAAAGTTCTATTTGGAAAAGTATCAGGAAATCATCCCTGCCCTCAAATCCTGGCACGAAACATTAACATCAGTGAAGGCAAAACTCCCATTATTTCCAGTGAGATTTCTGACAAGGAAAAGTCCTTCACAGGACAGAACTTCACATGAATTTAAAAATGAGCATCCCAAGCTCAACTGGAATAACCTGACATCTCCCACCCTTCCTAAAACACAGAAAGTACAGCAGGGCCACCTGAAGGAAAGATATCATCAAGTTTTCAGGATATTTACAATATATATGAGTTGTTTCACAACTTTATTCTTCTAATATTTATCCAACAAAGCTGCCCCCGAGTCCAGTAAGACACCACCCCTCTTTTATCCCATCGTTTGTGCTCACCAAAATAAGTGTATTTTGCAAACAGACAGGACACATTGCAGCTTCTCAGGCTTTTTTAATCCTCCTGATGAGAGAGAGGAAATAAAACAGCAACAAAAGGCTTTGAAGGAAGTTTTTTCTTGGACAGCAGAGCATGAGGGCAAGAACTGGGGCTCTGGAAATAACAGCACAAATTCCAGGACAAAGGGAAAAACAACTCCTGCCCCAAGAGCCACACGCTTGGACCTTGGAATGTGGGCAGGGGAGAGCCCAGTGATGGGAAGGTGAGCAGGAGAACCCTGGAATTGCTGGCTTAGGGAGGGAATTCAGGGTGGACAGCACTCACAGCTTCCTCACTTCCACCTCCCTGATCCAGCAAAGTTGCCAAGGACAGGTCCAGGCACTTGGGAAAGGATCTGGTTCTAAAGCCATTAAAGCCAAGAGAAGGACTTTGGTGGACAGAGGCTGAGCCCTGAGCAGGGAACAGAAGGACCACACCCACCCAGGACGAGGGTTGAACCCATGTTGTTGGTGAACACCGGGAAAAGACACAGGGATAAAATCCCTGGCTACCTGACAGGGAGCTGGAGCTCTTGGATCCTCATCCTGGGCAGTCATTATCCTCCAAATTCAACTTTTTAAGGATTCCCACTGTTACCTGAGGGCTGTAATAAAGAATGGCCCCAAATCTGTGATGAGATTAAAATCTACTTTATTCCTTCAGCTCTGGAGCCAGATTTCAAGGCACTGAAATTCCTGGTGCCTTGAAATGTCTTCCCTGTTCTTCCCCCGCTTCCTTCAGTCAATCCGATTGTTTTTGTGATCCCTGAAGAGCCTGAACTGATTTACTGAGCCCCTCCTTTTATAATTGCACTAAGTGATCATAATTGCTCTTTGCCCAGGCATTTCAAAATTCCACAGACAAGTCTAAATTGCATCAGAGTCCAGGAAAACAATGATGATATCCAGGCACTGCTCCATTATCTTGTGGGGTTTTTTTCCCCCTGTATTTAATGACCTAAGAAAGTTACAAAAGCAACTTTAAATTACCTTTATATATATAAACTAATTAAATATATTTAGCTAACACTGAGAAAATAAATCCCAAGCACCATGAAGACAAAAAAAAAATAAGAGATGACTGATTTTAGAGTAATTTAAGACTTTTTATGGAGTCTGTAGATGTAGCAGTAGAGTGAACACTTCCTTACCAAAGTATTACCTGTATTTAGATCTTATCTCAATATTCTCATTTTAAAACAGTGAATAAGTGATTACTCTGGTATCAACTTCTGCAGTTCTTATAAAATTCTGTATTCTGGGAGCACAATTTTATTGCTTATTCCACTTTTTTTTTTGCCACTTTACTCATTTCAGTAAGTGGCAGAATTCCTAGAAATTTCTATTACTAAGCACAGATTTATTGGACACTTCAAGACAAAATGGTTGAGAGGTGTGGCTGGTGTGATATTAAAAAATATTAAAAACAGAAAATGCAGACAACTATGTTTAAACTGACCCAAAAATGAAGGAAACTCACAGCTTCAAACTCACATGGCACAAAAGGATCTGTCTGGATGCTGCCAATTCATCTCTTCAAGTCACACGTGGTGACTTATTACTTTTATTACTTATTCCACATTTTTTTTGCCACTTGCTGAAATGATCAAGTGGCAGAATGTCTAGAAATTTCCGTGGCATCAGGATTTTTATTACAAAGCGGATTACAAAATGGTTGAGAGGTGTGGCCTGTGTGACAATATTAAAAGAGGAAATGCAGATAATCATATTTAAACTCAGGAAGAAGGAAACTTGCAGCTTGAAATGGCACCAAAGGATCTGTTTGGATGCTGCCAATTCATCTTTTCGAGTCACATGTGGTGACTTGTTTACTTATCCTACTTTATTTTTTTGCCACTTAGTCATTTCAGTTAAGTGGCAGAATTCCTGGAAGCTTCCGTGGCATCAGGATTTTTATTCCTAAGTAGATTTGTTGGGCACCTAAAGACAAAATGGTTGAAAGGTGCATCCTGTGTGACAAAATTTAAAAATATAGCTAAGTTCTTGTGTGTTTAAACTCATTAAAGATGAAGGAAACTCAGAGCTTGAAACCCGTGGCACAAAAGCACCGGTTCGGATGCCGCCCGTTCCACGCGGCGAGCGGGAAGATTAAAAATAAATAACGGCTACTTTATTACCTAAGAACACTTGAAAAGAGGAGAGAAATCTTGGCTGTGAGAGGGCTCAGTTCCCACTGAGTTTCCTCATGATGGGGCTGTCGGGCTCGGCGTTGGTGAAGATGCTGCCCACCACCACGTGGGTGCCCCACAGCCCGTGCCGGATGACTTTGCAGCAGCCCAGGTCGTCCACCGAGAAGCCCAAGTGCCGGTAGCGCTCGTCCGTCTCCAGCAGCGGGGTGTTGGTGTAAGGCCCGAAAAACTGGGAGGAAGGAGAAGTTTGAGAAGTTGTTAGGTGAGAACTAAAAAAAAAAAAAAAAAAAGGAAAAAAAAAGAAAAAGAAAAATAAGAGTTTTTCAAATCAGAACTGAAAAAAGGAGGATTTTCAGTTCTGAGGAGAATTTTTCACGTCAGAAAAGGAGAAAGGAGAATTTTGCACCCCAGGACTGAAAAAAGGAGAATTTTTCACCTCAGAACTGAAAAAAGGAGGATTTTTTGCATCAGAAGTGAAAAAAGGAGGATTTTTCGCATCAGAACTAAAAAAAGAAGGATTTTAAGTTCTGAGGAGAAGTTTTTGCATCAGAACGGAAAAAAAGGAGGATTTTGTACCCCAGGACTAAAAAAAAGGAGAATTTTTCACCTCAGAACTATAAAAGGAGAATTTTGTACCCCAGGACTAAAAAAAGAGACTTTTTCGCCTCAGAACTGAAAAAAAGGAGGATTTTTTGCATCAGAACTATAAAAAAGGAGGATTTTTCACATCAGAACTGAAAAAAGGAGGATTTTTCACCTCAGAACTGGAAAAAGGAGGATTTTTTATGTCAGAACTGAAAAAAAGGAGGATTTTTCAACCCAGGACTATATATAAAAGGAGAATTTTTTGCCTCAGAACTACAAAAGGAGAATTTTTCACGTCAGAAGTGAAAAAAGGAGGATTTTTCACATCAGAACTGTAAAAACCCCAATTTTTCACGTCAGAACTGCAAAAAAGAAAACTGGAAAAAAAAGATAATTTTTCACATCAGAACTGTAAAAAAAAAATTTCACGTCAGAAGTGAAACAAAGGAGAATTTTTACATCAGAAGTGAAAAAAGGAGAATTTTTCCTGTCAAAAGCAAAACAAAAAGAATTTTTCACGTCAGAACTTCCCCTTTCTAAACAAAATCTAGAAATAAGTTACACCTGTTGGAGGAAATTTGATGTATATTTTTACTTAAAATCTAAAGGGGAAATGAAGCAGAGCAGCTCTAGGGATACTGGTACCACATTGTAAATGTTTTCCTTTGGCACTGAAGTGCATTTGAAGCCTCATCAATCACACCCAGGAAAACCTCACAGGCTTTGGAAAGCTTCTGATACTTCTGATACAGGGATTAAGGGACAGAATAAGAATAAAACTCTCTGTGAAACAGGAAAAAAAATCAGAAATGTACCTTTTCAATGCTCCTCCTGGAAATAAAAAAGTTACTCTGAAGAGCAAAAATGGGCTTAAATTGGAATTTGAAACTGGTATTTCAGTTTTTACCTCAGGAGGAAGCTTCTGACTTGTCCTGATAATCAGCAATATCACTGAACTGGATGCTGAGGACAGCCTTATTTTTTTCATCAATCCCTGACTATTCCTTAAATGCATGGAATTTCTGGGAAGTTTACAGACAGGTTTAATAGGGGATGTTTAGAAGGTGAACAGACTCCTTAAATCCCTGCCTTTTACGGTGTTTTTAAATAAAACCCCACTAAACTGAGCTTTGCCTGTTGAACTGTGATGTGGTTTGAACAGTTCTCAGGCAAAAATCCCCAGATTTCTTGCTTTGATAGAGTTTTTCTCCACCCTCTCCTGTAAATTTGAAGATTCTGTTCCATAAATGTCTCGGTAACAAACTCAGCTCCTCCAGAGAGCTGTGTGATCTCCCAGTCAATGCACACACTGTTTGACAGGAAACAATTATTCTTTTTTTTTTTTTTTCTGCTGCAAAGAGGCTTTTTAAACCCTCCATCCACACACAAACAGGTGTCAGGCTTACCAAGTTACCTTGGCAGGGCACAACCAGCTTCTTGTGCAGCGAGCAAAAGCTTTTTTTTGGTTTTATTTGGGGCATAAAAAACTCCAGTTCTCTAAAATCCGACTTTGTTTCCTCAAAGTGCCAACTGCAATGAGAGCTGAAACACTCTGGGAATGGCTCAGGGTTACTATGTTGATTTATTAAAGGAATTGTCCTTTTGGGCCACTTGAAAAAAGTTGGATTTAACCCAGACAGAAGAAGAATTCCACACTTACTGCCAGTCCTGAGGATGGATCAATGAAATCAGCCCAGTAGCCCTCAGAAGAAATTGCATAGCAGATTTCCTTGGCACCATTAACGAACTGAAAGGGAGGAAAAAAAATGGGAAAAGAAGGATATCAAATGAGGTTTTTGTTACACATATCCCTGATCTCATAAAACAAGAAAAAATTTCTAACTTTATTCTCTGTATTTACTCTAAATAAATCCTTTATTTACTTTCAGTTCTAAAAAATGGGATTGTTCTTCCCAATTATGGCCCTCAGCAGCTCAAGGTTTCAGATTTATAGAAATGTTATCGTTACTCAGCTTCTTAAGGGTCCAAAACAAGGGAATTTTACCCTTCCCAGTAAATTCTTCTGTATTTTGAGGTTTGATGGCTCTGATGATTAACTATGTCTCAACTGCAAGTCCCCAATAAAAATCAAACCACCTGAAAACAGCATTTTAAGACATTAAATTTCTGATCCAGGGCATCTTTTGGTGTTGTACCAACCCCTCAGCAACCACTTCATAAACCCCTGAGAGGCACTACTGGAAAAATTCAGATTTGGCTGCCCATGAGCCTCGTTTCTTTAGCACAAATTGAATATTTTTAAGGGGAAATCTCCCCAGAAAACATCCCAGCTCCCTGTGAATTGTGCTGTTTGTAACCTCTGGGCTGGGAGGTTACAACCAACATCCTCACACCCCAGCAGTGACTGGATTAGACCTGACAGGGAGGTGCACAAGGAAGAAAGATGCCAATTAACAGATAATTAGACCAGATTACAAAGCCAAAGACCAGCAGAGCAGAAATAATTCAAAGAGAAGAACACACTTGAAATGAAGGGAATTTTAATTTGTGTGTAATCTTTGTGTTGATCTTTCAGATTGTTGCTTCCTTTTTTTTTTCTGCCCCTGCTTTAGAGAGGCCACACTTGCATTTATAGGATGGAAAAGACATTGGCAGATTAATTTTAGATATAAATACGACACTTGCTACACAGATAAAAATCCCACGGGATGATTTTGGAAGAATTATGACAAATATGAGATAGAAATGTTGTATTTTGAGGTGCCAAGGGAGAATGGCAGCAGTGGACAGCGACACTTGGTGGGAGAAGACACAAAATTCCAGAAAAATGGGAAATAAAGGGATTTGCAGAGCCCTCTAGTGGCAACAGAACAAGGAATGGTTCGTGAGAATGGTTAAAATGAAATAAATGTAAATATAACAGGTTAAAAGAATTAATAGTGTCCATTATCAGAATGGAAAGAACAAAAACACCAGAGCAATTGGTGGTTTTTTTATACCTTTTACCAGTAAGGCCACAGGCTTTGTACTGGGATCTCAATTAAATCACAGGAAAGCAAAGACAGCAGTGAAAGCCAACAAAATATATTGTACTGAAGCTGAACTAAGGGAAGAAAAGAGTTTCTGCCCTTTGACTGAATCAGGACAACTTCTTTATAATCTTTGTGGCATTCCAGCCTATTTTTGACTCACTCCCCTATAATGAATTTAATAATTCCAAGGAGATGTTTCACAGAAAGTAGTTAAAAAACCTATAAACCTGCAAAAAATCATCTCCATTTTAACAGCAAGAGAACACAGGAATAGCCCAGAAACGCTTTAAAAACATAACATATGAGCTAGAAATGAACCAAGACACACAGGCGGCTCAGAAAAGGTTAATTTCCAAACCAAAAGAGGCTGCTGCTGGGGTCAGGTACTCACATTTTCCAAGAGCATCTCCCTCTCATCCTCCACCTCCTGGCTCCACACAGTCATGTCGTGTTTGGTCTTCTGGGTGACGGTTAACACGGTCAGGCGGTTGGGACTCACCTCGGGGAACATGGATTCAAAGTCTGCAGGGAGAGGAACCACCAGGTCAGGCTCTGCTCCTGCATTTTCCTTGTGTTCCCTTCCGGTTTAGACAAATTATGGACCAATTTCAGCCAGATTTCAGCCTCACCGCTTCATAAATTCGGTTTTATTCCAATTTCATTTCAGTGTTTTCCTTCTTGAGCTGATTAAAGATACCACGAAATGTCACGATTTCCATTTGCTATTTTATTGTTGCCAAAACATTTGGTAACTGGTTTTTTGGACAGTGAATTAGCTCCAGAATCTGCCTGACACTAAAGCAGCAGCTGAAAGTTGTTCCCTGCCCCACCTGATCTGAAATATAAATGGCACAGAATTTTCTATGAAATACTAAATATTGTCAACAGCAAAAGGTTTGGGGTTTGTTATATGGTAGGTTTTTTGGGCAAAATATTAACTCTGGATGACCCTTTTCCTGTCCTACATCCTGTGGCATCAGTGACAGAGCATTTACTTAAATTTTTTTTTAAGTATAAAAATAAAAATTTTTTTTAAATATATTTTTTTAAATATGGTGATTTCTAGAAATGAAAGTGAACCCCCCCACCTTTCCGTAGGAGCTCAGGACAAGCCTGGACTGCGCATTCCACCTTGGCATTTTCAAAGTAGGTCTCAGCATTATTGATTTGCTGCTTCTGTGGAGCATCAGCACCCTGAAAAAAAAAGGAAAATTGCAGCTTTCTCAGTTCAGTATGATCACAGGGATAACTTTGTGGGCTGTGTTTTGGTGACTAAACATCCAGATCCATTTGTTCCACACAAAGATGATCTGCAATCAGATTTCAAGTTTTTCAAATATTAAAAGTGGAAGCGAATTTTTTGCCATATCCACATAATTGAGTCACTTCTAAAATACCATTTCCAACAGCAATGAAATATTTCTTTCCACCTGAAGCTTTGAAATTGAAGTCCTTTCATATCTGTATCATTCACATGAAATGTTTTCAACTAAAAGTTCTGAAACTGAAGTTCTGCCACACCCACAGAATTAAATCACATCTAAAATGCTCTTTCAATTAGCAGTGAAATAATTCTTTCTATCAAAGTTTCTGGTACTGAAGCTCTCCCATATCCACAGAATTTAATCACTCAAAATGCTATTTCAAAACATATCCTGAAGTCGATTTTTCTATCTGAAGTTTAGAAATTGAACCTCTCCCATATCCACAGAGCTAAGTCACTTCTAAAATACTCCTTCCAATAGCAATGAAAGATGAAATATTTCAATGAAATACAGTCTTTCTACTAAAATTTTGGCAACTGAAGTTCTCCCATATCCACAAAATTAAGCCAGTTCTAAAAATGCTGTTTCAAAACACACCTTGAAATGTTTTTTTCTCCTAAGACAAAAAAAACCTTGCTACTGGTTCTGGGTAACCTCTTGCTCAGTCCAGCTGAAAATCCATCAGGAAAATCCACACTGTGGTTTTTCAGGAGGGAAGAGGGACGAGTTCTGTTCCTCTGGGACAACACAGGAGTCTGTTCCTACCTGGAACTCATTGATGAACTGTGCCATCACAAATTCATGCCTTTCACCCGCTGTGGGCTCTGCTAAAATATCAGGGAGGCTCTTGGAAACTTGGTTTTTCCTCTGGGAATCGGTGCCATTGAGGTGACAGTCAAAGCCAATGTTTCCAGGCAGCTGGAATCTCTGATCCTGGGGTCCAAAGGGACCCATCACTTCATCAGGCCACACAGTCCTCGGACCTGCAGGAGCCAAGGCCTTGCTTTAATCACCACAACCAAAAAAAAAGGGTAAAACCCAAATGAAACATCCACTCCCACACAAAGATTTGCTCCCAGAGAGACCCCAAAGCCCAAATCAGGGCCCTGCCATAAAAAGCACACCCAGAAACACCCCTGGAGTGCAAAGTTCCGACAGCACAGGAGTCCAAAGGGAAGGAATTGGCTTTTCCTTACACAAATCAGGAGGTGCAGCAGCCACGTGAGGCTCATCCGAGCCAGAGGAGCCTGCCGTGGAAAAAGCCTTGGGATTGACAACTCTCTTGACTAAGGAATAAAAGCCTGGTAGGTAGGTGACCAATCTGGCTCTGGTACAGAGCACCTGGGAAGACAAAAATACAAAATAACAATTACAAACTGCTCCCTAAAACCAAAAAACATCAGAGTTTAACCAGCCCCGGGGGTCACAAAGAAATTCCCGCTCCAGAATTCCATGACAGCTTTAATGATGATCAACCTTAGCATCGAGTTTTAGATTGGATCAAATTTGGATTATTATTTTTATGTTTTCCCAGTAAAAGCCTTCAAAATAAAAAACCACGCTCCTCGTTGTGAGGGGAAAAAAAAAAAAAGCCCTGAAAACCTGAAATAGCAGCACTGAAAGCACCACGACTTAAAGTAAATTACGGATGGGGCTTGTTTCCAGGATTATTTCCGTGCCTGTCACTGTTTCCAGGATTATCACAACTCCACCATGGGGTGATTACCAGAAATACCTAGAAATAACGCTAATTATTGTGAACTTTTCAACATTAGTTAATTATTCTTTTTCAAAATTAACTTTGAAGCCTAATGACAATATTTTGAGGAGTAACACAAGCATCTGTTATTGTTTTTTGTGGTTGTTTTGGTTTTTTTTTTAAGAAGAAATATGCAGGTGGTGCCACTAAACAGAGAATTCTGACCCAGTTTTTCTGCTTTACAAACACACTGACAACTTTCAAGCTGCATTTCCATGCTCAGAACAGAAGAATAACCAACCAAACTCCCCAGATGGAGAGTGAGGAGCGTAATTTTTAAAAAATGAAGATTAAACTCCAGCACAAAACTGCTGCTGTGTGACAAAATGGCACCAATTTTGCAGGTATTACTGGAAAAATTAAACATCACCTACCACAGGGTGTGGTTTCTTGTAAATTTTTGTAAAATTCTGTTTCCCAGGTGAGGGAGAGAAATTATTTTGAGAAAATGACACCAAAGGGATTTTCCTTAAGCGCTGCAGCTTTGAGTCCATAAATATTTAGGCACCTGTTTACCACTAAATATTTCTGTTGCTTCAAAAGAAAGGAGTAAATGGTGCTATTTGTACGTTTAACATAAAAACTGTGTTTAAAGAATCAGCACTTAAGGCAATAAAAGCACCAATTTCTTCCCCACCACCTCTGTGTAAACATAAAATAAGTCCTGCCAACATCATAAAGACTCAAATGCTTGGAGAAGCATTTAATTTATGATTTGAATCAGTTATTTAAAGCCTTAAACTGTTTAGTTATAACACAGGTTTAAAAGGCTCCTTTAACACCACAAAAACCTGATGCCGATTGAGTTCTCTTTTTTTTTTCTCTGTTATGTAAAACGACTCCTGAAATAATTTGTTCATAATGATTGTATCATAAACAAATGTAAACAATTCCAGCTGACACGTAATTACAAGAAAAGAGCTTTCTTTTTTTTTTTCTTATAATCAGGCTCACTTAACAGGGAGATGCCGTTAATTACAGCTACGGCTCAGCTCGCTCGTGCAAATATTGACACACCTGGCACGACACGAGCGAGAAAACACCGCTGGAAAAAAAAAAATGAATTATTCATGGCTTCGTGGCAAGAATCGACAATAAAGGGGGGGTTTATTCTGCTGCGGCTGCCCCGGGATCATTGGAAGCGTCCAAGGCCAGGTTGGACGGGGCTTGGAGCAACCTGGGCTGGTGGAAGGTGGCACTGGACGATCCTGATGTGCCTCCCACCCCAAACCTGTCAGCGATTCCACGGAGCCCTCAGCCGGGCTGCTCCCGAGATATCCACCCGGGAATCGCCGTCACTCACACTGGCCATGGCAGACGCCGCTCTCCTCTCGCCGACAGGCCCGGATACCCCTGGAAAAGAAGAAGAGCGGAAGGAAGAGGGAAGAGAAGAGAGAGGGAAGGGAAAAGGAAGGGGAGGGAAGGCGCTGGACTCCGCCGCCCCGGACCCCCCTCACGGCCAATCCCCCCCCTCAGTGCCGCCCCCGCGCTGCCCCGGCAGCGGTACCCGGTGTCCCAGGGCCGGGGCTACCGGGGACAGGCGACCAGAAGATGGAAGAGCGCCGGGAAAAGGGAATTAGGGGGGGAATCAGGGATCGATCCCGGGGCACCCCCGGCCCCCTCACCTCTTCCTGCAAAATGGCGCCGCCACGCCCGCGCCGCGCGCTCCCAGACCGGGCCAGCCGAGCCGCCGACGCCTCGATTGGAGGCGGGCGCAGAACCAGCCGGAATCAGCCGCTCGGCGCGCGGTTGCTCGGGGCTGAGGAGGAGGCTCGGGGAGGGAAGCGGCGATGGCGGCGGGGACGGGACGGGGACGGGACGGGGTCGGGACGGGGACGGGACGGGGACGGGACGGGGACGGGACGGGCGGCCCCTCGGGGTGGCCTCAGGCCGGGGTTGTCCCGTGCTGTGGCGCGGCGGCGGTGGCTCGGCTGGCGCGGCGGTGGCAGTACCCGCCGGGGGCACCAGGGGGCGGGCACGGAGCGTCAACAGCGCTCAGGGTCCCCCCCCGTCCCCTCACGGGGATACTGAAGTGGAAAATGGGGAGGAAAAGGGGTTTTTCACCCGGGAATGGGGAGAGAAGGGGTTTTTCTCCTGGCAAAGGGGGTTTGCTATGGAGGGAATGAAGAGGGGGGTGTTTCCACCTCCGCGGTTCGCGGGGGATCCCTGGGAATGCGGAGCAGCGGTGTCACTGCTGCCGCGACACCGGGGCTCGGAGGGCAGACCTCGGAGAACTGCTGTAGAATATAAGAATAAAAACCTTCGGTGTCTTTTGTTGTTGATTTCTTTTTCTTTTTTTCCTGTTTTTATTTTGGGGGGGGGGTTGGGGGGGAGGGAGAAAGGCACTGCCCCAGAGCTCCAGGAGGGTTGGGATGATTCTCTGGGACACAGGGTGGGATTGTTGGGGTGTCTGTGCAGGGCCTGGGCTTGGACTGGATGGTCCTGGGGGTTTCCTTCTATTAATTTCTGTACTTGCTGTTAATTGCTTATTATTATCCACGAAGTATTGTTGAATATACACAAAGTCAGAGCACTGATCTCTGGGCACGTGTAGAGCTCCTGCCCTGTGTTTCTTCCAGAATTCCACTGGTCTTCCAGTAAATAACCTCGGTTCAAATTGCCCTCCTTTGAGGGTTGTTTTAATGCCACCTGGAACACGACACGTTTGTAGGAAGGAGCATTTTAGCTCCTTCTTTTCCATCATCGCTTCGAGCACCTTTGCCATCATTCCATAGGAGGATGGAATCCTGGATCCCTGGAAGTGTCCAAGGCCAGGTTGGAGCCCCCTGGGCTAGTGGAAGGTGTCCCTGCCCACGGCAAGGGGGTGGAATGAGATGATTCCAAGCTCCCTTCCAGCCCAAACCATTTCGGAACTCCATCCCTCCCAGATGACTCCTCACACCCCACATCTTTTCAGCTTTTCCAACAAAACCATCCACGGATTTTCTCCTGCTGAGTCCAGAGCAGCCCCCACAGACACTCTTGCTGAACAACCTGCTCCTCTTTGTCTTCAAGTCCAGTGTTTTGTGTTTGCCCAGCTCCAAACCACCCTTTATTTCTCCTTTTCTCGAAGCCTGGCAGGGCTGGAAAGGGAAGGCAGAATCTTTGTGGGCAGCTCAAGGCTGGGCATTGTTCTCGCCGTACCTTTTTTGTGGCGTGTTCAATATTGTGATTTCATCTGATTCATCAGCTCTTTGAGGCAAAAAAAGCAAAAAACCCTCCCCACTTGCATCTGTGGGGAGTGCTGTGCATACTAATGCAACTTATTTAAATGCTGAATTAAAAATATCGTGGGGGGAGAGGTGCCCAGTCCCAAATCTGCTTTAAAGCTCCTATAAAAGAGCTGTTTTGCTGCACTAGAGGGGAAACACAGACAAACCACTTCAGAATACCAGGATTAAGACTTTTTTTCTCCCATTTCTTGGCTGTTTTAGTTCCAAGAAAAAGGAACTTTAATCTGTTCAGAAGAAAAGATGGGGCATTCAGATCCCTCCAGTGACTCTGCATGTGATCTTTAATGTACTTTATTTATAAACCAGGTATTTCTGGACATTTGTTTGGCTTTGCTGCTGGTTTATAATTTTATTAGCATAAACCAGGTTTCAATATATAATAATATATTAAAAATATATGATGATATCATAATAAAAGCTTTCAATATATCACTCTATAGTTCAAAATCAGAGCAAGAAATTGGTTTTGTGGTCGTAATATTCAGCCTACAACGTTCTTATTGCATTTAATAAAGTTTTGGCTTTATTTGGTGGGGATCAAGAGGAAATTATTATATCCAGTTCCAAACACTATGATATATTAAGGAACTGTAACATTGCAATTTTGATTTTTGGACTCTTTCTCGAGAACATTTGCTCACTATTGCACACCACCCAACTATTTTATTAATTCCATGTTAGCACACTTAATTGGCATTTGCTTTTAAATTAAATATTCATGTTGAATCTCTGAACTTCAGCAAAAAAAAAAAAAAAAAACAAAAACAACCAAATGCTGGAGAAATTCAACTTTAACTCTTTACAGAATTTATTTCCTCTAATAGGAGCCCCCTGGGTTCCAAGCAGTCTGTATTGACTTGTCCTGAGGCAAATCCCAGTTCGTCTCCCCTCCAGGGTGAGCACTTGCAGATACTCAAATCAATCAATGAATTATCACCCCCTGAAGTTTGTGGCCTGAATTCATAAAGACTCATTTCAGTCGAGTTTCTACCTCCATTCAAAGGGGGCTGCAGAAATCAAACAGTCCAATTACAGATTTATCAAATATTAATAAATGAAAATCTCCCAGATCTTTGGGATGCCAACATTCCTCTCCCCTGGTGTCAGGAAAGTAATTAGCAGCTGGCTTTGATTAAATTCTTCCCTCAGAGAGGAAGGAATGCACTCAAGATGATCCCTAATTCCTCATTTTAAAGCCTTTTTCTTTTTGGTTCAGTTGAGTGAACCTGCAGCAATTTTGGTGGTGAAACCTGAAGAGCACGAGTGGCTTTTCCTGAGATGCTCCTTTTTTTTTTGACTTTGGGCTCTCCAGCACAAGAAGGATGTGCAGGTGGTGGAGCAAGTCCAGGATGATCAGAGGGATGGAGGAAAAGCTGAGAGAACTGGGATTGTCCAGCCTGGAGAAGTGAAGGCTCTGGGGAGAGATCTTAGAGCTCCTTCCAAGGCCTAAAGGGGCTCCAGGAGAGCTGGAGAGGGACTGGGGACAAGGGATGGAGGGACAGGACACAGGGAATGGCTTCCCACTGCCAGAGGGCAGGGTGAGATGGGATAGTGGGAAGGAATTCCTGGCTGGGAGGGTGGGAAGGGAAAACTGAACTCCCAGCCTCGTTGGGGTTCTCCTTCCCCATCCCCAGACCTGCTGGAATCCCTGCTCTGTGAGCAGGAGAGCCAGAGGTGCCCCTGAGAAGGTGTTTATTTGGGACTGATGGACCTGGATTCCTGGGAGTTTGGCCTTCCTTGTCCTCTTCACTTGTTGCACAAGTTAATTAAAAGCTCTCTGTCACCATCCCTATCCATTACCTTACAGGTAACATTTTTGCTAAGCCTGTCCAAAATAGAGGCTTTTGGAATTCCCCCCCTAAGCATCAGAGCTGCAGCTTTTCCCTGATTTCATCCTTAATGTGGATTTTGCTGCTTGGATTTCCCGTTCTCCCCTGCACTTAACCAGGTGTTGTGATTGACTGGTTAACTGGAATTGCCCCTGGTTATGGGAGCAGTGGTTTTTCTTTTTTTTTTATTAATTTGAATACTGCAGGAGCTCGTTAAGTGGTCATAAAAATAAGGAGATATTCTTTATTCCCACTGCCCATCTATCTGTGCACTGATGGATAGAGCTGGGGCTTGCAATTTATTTAATGGCCTCCATTAAACTTCATTAGGACCGTGTTAAACCCAACTCAAAAATCATTGCCATCGATTCTGGATCTCTAAAACCTGCTCGGGGCAAACCAGGAGCGAGCATGCCCAGCTCCTGAACAGCTCCCTGAACATTCCAGCCACATTCCCTGTGGGCTCCATGAGCAGAGGGAGGGAGGGAGGGAGGGAGATCTCGGCCTGTGGTCCTCAGGATATTTAGGAGCAGCAGGACGGCTCTTTTTTGAGCTGACACATCCCCTGCCGGTGTCACTGCCCCAGCCAGGGAATTTCCAGCCTCTGAGCATTCCCTCAGCCTTTTCTGTTTATTCCTTTCACTGCCTGTATTTATTTTTCCCTTGCATATACAGCCACGACTGCCCCGTGTTTGGAACGAGGAATGTCTGGTCCCTGGTGATGAAGTGGAAGGGAGGAAAGGTTTTAACATGCTCTTTTTTTTTCCCCCAGAAAAGTAAACATCCTCTGGCTATAGGAAGAGTAAACTTCCCCTGGAAATGTATGTGTTTATATGAACAATCTCTTTCTTCTGGCATTTCCAGAGATTTGTTCTCCACCACTGGGAAGAAAAGGCTTTTAAGTCAGCGGTGCAATTACACAAGATAAGTCTTTGCATGATTTGTTTTCTTTTTTTTTTTTTTGGAGGAAGATATCTCCCCCTGGATGTGTTTCTGTGAAGCTGAAAGGGATTTCCTCCGTTATCTCAGGGCGTTGCTCTGTGTCTGGGTCCTTTTGGAATGTCCATCCCCATGGACAGGCGGAGGCAGCCAAAGGAAATTACCATTTCCCTGAAAACTGCCTGGGTCTGACTCTGCTTTACTGGGGGGTTACTGCAAATCCTTTACCAGCATCACTTCTCCTGGATTCTATAAACTACCAGTTTACATTTTTACCAAAGAGAGCCATTTGTTAACCAAACTGACCTGGGATGTGCCCTTTCCAATCACACCACCCTCGTGTGTGATTGTCCAAGCTGGCTGTGAGACAGACATTAATTCACCTCAATTCTTGTTGCAGCTCTTAATGTTCCGTTGGAGGCAGGGAGGTTGAGCTT